AAATTAGGGGTTTTTACAGCTAATATTGTAATTCAAAAAAGGTGAACATGCATGTGAATGTCCACATTTTCCTAACACCATTTATTAAAGGAACTTTTCTTTCCACATTAAGTATTTTACTCCCTTGTCAAATATTAGTTGACTGATGCATGGGTTTATTTTATTCCTTGAGTAAAGAAAAAATGTGATATTTACAAAGAGATCTCAATCAGTAGACACATTTACTAGAAGTTAAATTTTTGCACTGATTTATTCAGTATTTCTCCAAGTGTTTTCCATAGTGAGTTAAGCAAGGACAAAGGTTTTGTCACTAAAAAAACTTACAAAATACTGTGTACCAATTCCAGCCTCACAGATTCAAAAGGCCATTAACATGAAGGCTCTGAAGTCTACAATACAACAAAGTAAGTAGGTGTTTAAAAACCTAAAACCTATCATTTTGTAACCCCTACCAAAAAAAGAAAGATACAATTAGCATCCCAGGACACATCTGTTCAAGACAAACAATATTTCCAAACCTTTGATTTTCTATTTCCAGAAGAGCATAATGGTGGGAAAAAAATACATTTCAGCAAATATTCTACTTAAGTTTGCATAATTCAATGCATTCCTTTGAAATATTTTGCATGAAGAGTGGCTGCTAATGTGGATGAGGTTTCTTTCTATGGTTTTGGAAATGTTTTGAAATTAGATTATGGTGCACATTGAGTTGCACACTTTAAACTGGTCAATTTCATGGTGTGTAAAATCTCAATAAAGCTGTGAGAAAATACTGTAATGTTTATAAAGCCATGACTCACCTAATTCAGTCCCAGCCCAAATAACCAAATTCATTGCAAATCACTGGGGCAGTGGGTGAAGGATGGGTCATTCAACAGAAGGTGCTGAAAATATAAAATGGGATCCCTACCTCACACTTCCCATCAAAAAAATTCTAATGGGTCAAATTATAAATGTGAACAAATGAAACAATGAAAGAACTGAAAGAAAAGTGGGAGGGTTCTTTTTATTATTTTAAAGTGGAGAAGCCTTTTAAATACAATGAATTGAACCTCAAAAAAATGTTTTCAATAAAAATATCTTTAAATGCATGAACACAACACAGATAACAGACTGGCGGTTGCCACAGGGGAGGGAAGTGGGAGGACGGGTGAAATAGGTAAAGGGAAAAAAATCTGTGAGGATGTTCAATCCCTTGATCTGGGTGAGAGTTACATGAGTATATACACACATCAAAATTCATCAAGCCATACACTAAGATCTGTGCATTTTAGTGTATGTATCTTGATCAAAATAAATAAATTAAATTAAAATGCATAAACAAAGTTAAAAAGCAAACTGAGAAAAGCTATTTGCTGCTCATGTCGAAAAGCATGTGCAGAGAATATATATATGGAGATACTCATTTCACTATTATTTATAATAGCACAGGAATGAAAATATCCTAAGCATCCATCAACAGGAATCTTATTAAATATAACACATCCATATGATGGATATTCTACAGCTACTAAAACAAAGAATGAGGCAAGTCTGTATATACTGATATATATATACCTGAAAAAGCACGGATCAGAGAGTTGTATATGGTTTGCAACATGGGGAAGGAGAACTCACAAGAAACTAGCAACAGTAATTGCCTCGACAAAGGGGGACTGCGTGTCTGGTAACGGGAAGGAAGGAGAAGAGACTCACTTTCATTGCATACCCTTTTTATTTAATTTTATGAATGTGCATGTTCTATTTATACAAAATTTTGCTTAATATTTTTAAATACTCTAGAATATGCAAAATTAAAATAACTCAAGTCTTTTATTTGTCTTTCTCAAATACTGCCAAAGGGACCCTGGGACCCCAGGAGTATTTCTTTAACTTATCTTTCCCCTTTGTCTTGTAATATTCTCCTATTCCACTGTCTCTAGCTTTTCTTCTTTCTCACAAAACTCTCACTTCCCCAAAAAAGATCTTCTCCCCAGAGCCCAGCCTGAGTTTTTTTGTGTGTGTCGATGTTCCTGGTGGTTGGAGGATTCAGTGACTAAGACAAATATTCCTGCCTTCATCGAGTTTACATTCTATCAGATGGAGATAGACAATATTAAAGAAAAGCATAAAAAGATAAGAATTACCTGGTGAGATAGAGTATAATGGATATTAGAAAAAAACAGAATGGAATGAGGGAGTGTCAGGAGATAGGAAAAGGGGGATTGCAACATTAAATAAGGTGGTAAGAGCTGGCTTTGATGAGAGGGTGGCATTTGGGCAAAGACTTGAAAAAGGAGATAAGAGAATGAGACAGGTAGACATCTTGGGGAGGAGAGCTCTGGGCAGAGGGCAGAGACAGTGTGAAGGCCCTAAGGCAGAACAGTCCTAGTGTCTCTGAGAAGCACCAGGGAATTCAGGATGTGACTGGAGGGAGAATAGTAGAGGATGAAGTCAGGAAGTAAGGAGGGCGGGTGCCAAATCAAGTAGAGCCTTGTAGACCATATGTCATGAGGCTTTCTGACTTAAAGTAAAGAGGACAAACCATGACAGGGCAATGCCACGGTAGTTTTCCAGTATGATCCACACTCCCTTGTCATTTGGGTGAACTGAGTCCCAGGACCTGACCAGCCACTGACCACTGGCCATCATCAGGCATCAGGCACCACACACACTGTTCCTAGATTCTAGTGATGAGTGTTAGTGGATAATCACTTTGAGTGTCTTTCAAAAAATTCTAACTGGATATACTTCTAGCATTAAGGCTACCATACAGCCAATATTCTAGTACATTTGGTGATGAAAGGCAAACCATTTGTTCAATGAATATATGTTTCCATTACCTTAATTTATTCCTTTTTTGAACATCTTTTTGCTTGGCTATTGGAAAGATTCATATCCTTGCTTCCAAGACCACCTTTACAATTTCTGCTTCCTCTCTCCATCACAAACTAGACCCTCACCACAAGTTTCTCTATAACCTACTGGTGTGTTTGTGTTTTTAGCATCTTCATCACAGCATCTGAGATACCACTGCCCGAAATGCCTTCTTCCCAGAAAATTTCAAATCCCTCTTTGAAGCAACTCCCAACCTCAGCTATAGCACTGCATTCCATGTCTGGTTACAAGCCTCCTTATGAGTACTTTCTACAAGCAGGTTTTTTTCAAATCCCTTCTCAAAGCCTGCTCTAATCAGTATTTTACAAAGGAGAACTAACGGTTTAATCATCACATTTTGTTCTGACAGTAGCAGAGTGTCTGGATAGAATGTTCTTTAATTTTCTGTCATCTGAGGCCCCTTTAGAAGGGCTGGTAGCTTTATCAGCTCCTCTGGGCTTTTCAGTAGGCACCTTAAGCCTAGCTGAGCACTAGAATCAGTAATTTTGTGTTTGTGTTGTATTATAAGTCAAGCACAGCATGGCAAAATGTTCTCCCCGATTCTTTCTTTTTCCTTTTTTTTTTTTGTTTTTTTTGGTGGGGTCACTGATCACAAAGATTTGGTCAAAGATACAGAGACTATATTTGGATAAGTTGCTTCAGTTTGTCACTGATAAGATTTCTAGGAATCAGACTTATTTTTAAACCACACGTGCACACTATGTTTTCTCAGTTTGACATTACTATGCTCTGGCAAATTTCTGGGTCTAATTCTAAGATGTTGTAATTTCCCATGGGTACCATAAAAGTGGTACAGTACACCTGGTTAATTTTCTGATGTGGCTGTCAAATAAACAGAGAAAGTCTATCTGATTGTTTTCCCCACATTTTATTATTATTTCCTTTGGGCAAGAATATGCCAGGCATATACATCAAGCATTGTGCAGATTTCTTATTAAAGCACAACTATCCAAAAACTGCTCATTTACATTGCTGCAGAACCATGTATATATATCCCCCCATCCAAGAAGCTGCTCCTCCTAAGGACCATTTAGCCTAGAAAATCAGGTATCCCCAGCCTACACTGTCCACCCCTCAGTTTATATGCCAAATGTCATGCTAATAAACAATTCATCATTCTCAGCTACCAGGCCGCATGGAGGGAAAAACCAAGCCCTATTAGATCATAGTTGAGATGTGTCGCCTGCTTTACTCGGAGCACATGGCACCATGCATGGTTTAATTTCACTCAGCTCTTTAATTGAGCCCTAGTGCGAATGGCTTAATGGGACACAATGGCATTATATCCTGTAGATTTTAAATTAAAGTTTGAGAACCCCCTCAGGATATGCACAGTACTCCAATTAACACTAATTGGCATTCTACATGATTATCAAGTGAAAAACATGGTTTTCCTGAAAATGCCACTTCCTTTCTCCTGCTTTAAAAAGCCTGTAAATTCTTAGAAAACAATCATAGATGCATACAAAGCTTGGATATATGGATGTCTAGTATAGTGTTTATATTGGCAGAAAGCTGGAAAGAAATGTCTCTAATGGGGAATCATGTCTGTAAAGGGTGGTAGAGAGAAATGCAACAACTTTTTTAATGTATGAATAATTTTTGACATGGACAGATGCTCAGGATATACTGTTGAGTGAAAAATATTAAAGAATTGCAGGCGTGATGTAATATCACTTTCCTCCATAGAATAAAAGACTGGAAGAATGTGTATATGAAATGTAAAGAATATCTCTGGGCAGTGAGAGCAATGTTGATGTTTATTCTATTCATTTGCATTTCTAATATTCTAAGAAAAAAATATACAACTTTGGTAAAAAGAAATGGTATTTTCAAAGGCCATCATTGACTCCTGCAGAAAAACATATACCACAAATGGATTAATTTTGAAGCTTTTTTTCATCCTCCTTCCTCTCCATCAACCCCTGTGTGGGGGCACTGAGAAGTCTCTACCAGTAATGTGTTCAGCATTTCCAGTGAAATTCTGAGGGTAAACAGGTTTTTCTACATGCGTGGAGAGGTGAGCACCAGAGCAAACTGTTGCAGATGCCCATTCTCATGTTCAGCTATGCCAAAACTCCCACCTGGAAGGGTGCATTTATGTCCGTGTGTTTCTCTTTCAGAGCCAAAGATGTTTATCTTGCTCTATGTTACGAGCTTTGCCATTTGTGCAAGTGGACAACCTCGGGGTAATCAGTTCAAAGGAGAGAGCTACTCACCAAGGTACATCTGCAGCATTCCCGGCTTACCTGGACCTCCAGGCCCCCCTGGAGCAAATGGCTCCCCTGGGCCCCACGGTCGGATCGGCCTTCCAGGACGAGATGGCAGGGACGGCAGGAAGGGAGAGAAAGGAGAAAAGGGGACGGCAGGTAATGGACGCCGGTGTCCCTCCCACCACTTCTCCCCTGCCTCAAAACTACTTCCTTCCTTTGCGGCTTTTTCGAATGAGAATTGCTCCTTAAATGCCTTCCCTGCTTCACCTCCGTGCTGTAGATATTGCTCTAAACTTTTTTACCTGCATTCTTATTTCATTGTAATGACAACTCTTTCAGTTATCACATTTTATAGATGAGAACAGAGCAATAGTGTGTGTAAATGGATCACAGAAGATGGACGTGCACTGCTAGTGACCGGCAGACCTGGATTCAAACCTTTAAGCCTGTGAGCACTGGGCTGTCAAAGCTGGCAGGCAACGGCTGGACGTACAAAGGCATGGATGGACAGGCAGACAGATGGCAGCAAGGGAGACGGACAGAAGGAGCAGAGACAGAATGTAGGAGCCCAAGGCGCAGGTGCCACCCTGCTCCACACTAATACTCTGAGCAGAGACACATAAACGGCCTCTAGATTTTATTTTTCACAGATGAAAGCAACCATATCTCTGTATGGCTTACCTTTCCCAGCTCATCTCTTTCCCACCTGTCACATAGCAACTCAAAAAGTCAATTTCTTATAGCTCTTTACAGCAACACAACTGTTCTCTGGTTGTTCTGTAACTTCGGCTTTTTTTTCCCCACAAATAAGTTGGCCAGGGAAGCTTGCCAATTCTGCAATCATTCGGAGAAAAACAAATTGAAATTCTAGAGAGGCTGTGTTAACTCTAAAAAAGGAAGTGATTTGGAATCAATCTTTGAAAATAAGTTTCTGAGTGTAAAAGCTGGGACAAAAGATAGGAAGAACGAAGTCAATAGTTCTAAGAAGCATGTCTATCTAGTCATAGCGCCTGACTTATTGGTGTTATGCAGAGGCATAATATATATTCAAATTACTGGAAAATAATCCATTTCTGAATTTGTCATGCAGAAAATACTTGGCAAATCTCTAGCTACCAAATCTATGAACATTAGATAAAGAACTTTTACATAGGTTTCAACATCAGATAAAGACCCTTTAATTTGGAGTTTGAATCTCACCTTTACAAGCCTTCTGTATGGTTACAACTATGAATACATCTTACTGCTGCGTCATGATCATGAATATCCTTGCGATCCTGTAAGAACACCAGGATCATAGTTACATATTACCTGGTCCCCTTAGTTCACTGTGTCTGGAAGCAACAATGTGAGGGCTGCCTAAGCATGCTCAGGGTCAGAAAGACAGGCTCAGACCTTGGCCCCTGCAGTTACTATGTATCCTTGGGCAAATAGCCTCTTTGAGCCTCAGTTTCCTCATTTGTACATTGGGGGTAGTCAGGATGACAGTGAAGCACAAGCCCAGTAACACGTGTACAACACTCAACAGAACCAATGCCATGTGGTGAGCGCTCAGAGAATGGTGGCTGCTGTTACATATTACATTGTAAATACACTGCAAATTTGGGTCATGGCAGAGTTTGTGAATATCCAAAGCCACATGATAATCTAGAAATGAGTGACCTGAGATGTTTCTAGTATTATTTAAAGATAAGTTTTCAAATTAAATCAAATGTTCATAATTGCTATGATTTCACCCTATATGAGGCCAATAAACCCCTGTATTCATCAGTCTATTCATTCATCCATCTACACATACAGTCTTCATTCAACAAGTGTTTTGGGCACCTATCGCTATTCATTATTATTCTAGACTAGCGTTTCTCAGCCTCCACACTAATGGTGTTTTGGGCCAAATAAGTATTTGCTCTGAGACGGTGTTCCTGGGCCTTGCATGACATTTAGCAGCACTAGATGTCATTGGCACCCCCACCAATTGTAACATTCAAAAATTTCTCCCAGCATTGACAACTCTCCCGTGGTGGGCAGTGTACAATCACCCCGGGGTCACGTTCCAGACACTGAGAACACAAACATGAATAAGACATTGTTCTTGCCTTGACAAGCAAACATGTGGGAGCAGAAGACCAATATGGAAACATATCATTACAATATGTCATGATTATCACCATAACCATTTATGAAGAACTTACTATGTGTCAGGAATTTTACATTTAGTACTTAATGTCCACCATAACCCTATTAGCAATAATTAAAGTCAGCAATAATAATAACAATGTCATAAATGAAAATATTGAGATTCAAAAATAAAATGACCTTCCCAATCTGAAATTAAATCCAATATACCAATAGGGATATATATCAGCAGCTAAGATAGGCTAGAAGGCCTTTGTGATCCATGAAGAGAAACACATCTCGTTTACAAACAATAGCAACAGCCCTGGCACTGTGGGCATAAGCTCTAACGTGGCTGGAACTGGGTACAACACGGCTGGGAGCCTCTGTTCCCTCTTTTCCCTTTCATGAACCACAAATGTCTCCTCTTTTATATGCCCTTAGTGAATGTCCCCACCACATGGCACCTCAACCCTGTGCAAGCAGAATTAAGCATATTTTTTTGTCCAACTTCCCTACCCTAAATTACAAACACAGAGCTTATAATGAATCATAAATTTTCTGTAAAAAAATACCTGTCTCCCTCACTGGTCTTTAGCAATTACTACTGTAGCATGTTTTTAAAATTTCATTTTATCGGAATGCACATCCGTATAAATATCTGCAAATAACACTAGAACCACCTCATGAAACAGATCACCTTAATTTATCATATGGCTTTGAGATTTCCATGAAGTTGGCTATGACCCATATTTGCAGATTACAAAGTAACACATAACAGCTAACTTGAGGGTGGGCCACACTCGGTGCCTGGCTTGTAGTGGATGTTCATTCAGTACCAAATGGTTTAGACGGATGTATTCACACACACATAAATTCATGGTGGGATGGACGGAGGAATGGGAGAAAGAGATGGCACTGAAGAAGAAATCTTTGTAAGCCCATTTCAGAGAACTAAGAAATCCTTTCTCCCCGAGGGTCAAGTACCTAAGCAGCGTAGACTAACCCACCTTCCCCTCCCCAGTTCTCTACCCAAACATACACCTGACTGAATGGGGAAAGGGATAATGACATCTCTTCTTTCTCTTCTTCATTAATGGGCCCCTAACACAGGGAAAAAATGCTTTATGCAAACAGTAATAAGTACTATAAATTATTACAGCTAGTCCCTGATTATCTAACTCTCAGCAGTTCAGAATATTCAATAACTATAGAAAAATCCAAACATTGAGAGGGTAAGGATTTTTTACGGCTAGCATTATAAAACTGCATCTTAGGATTGATTTATGGTTTTGTCTCAAAGAATTTTCAGTATGATGAGACCTCAAGAAACCTAGTCCAACACCTTCATTTCAAGGACCATAAAATCAAAGTCAGAGAGATGAAAATCCTTGTTCAATTAATTACCTAACCTATCCACGGTTAACCTAGGATTGTTTCCTCTGGTCTGCTGAGTCACTGTTCTCTGATTTTCCCACTGCGTTTGGAGTGGATTTAAACTCAATTCTTCATATTACAAATGGAGCACTTGAAACACAGAGAAGAAGTGACCTACCCGAAGTCACAGAGGCAGGAAGATTTGAGTACGTAATGAAATTTAAAGGTCAAAATTGTTACTGCTGCCAAGTTTTGTTAGTAATGCATTCAAGGTCACTGATAAAGACGGCAAAAGTTAAGCTCCTATTGAAGATAAACAACAATTTATGAGTTGTAGTCCTTGATTCAAAAGTTAACAGTAAAATAGTATCCTTACTCCATTCCTGTCAAAAGGAAGCAAACCTAAGTTCAGACTTTTATGGCCTTATTTCAAGAAGTAAGGAGCAAACTGGGTTTCGGCTGCAGCCAGTGGAATTTTAACTCAACAACAAAAGCCATCTAGTGCTAGAGACAGTCCTGTGATCAGTAATGACACTGAACCCAGTCCCCCCAAAAAAAAGTTTGCATTCATTATTAGCATCTTCTGTAGATCATGAATTCTTAAACAGCCCCTTTCCCAAAGTATTAAAACAAAATACTTGACGTTTCAAAGGTAAAGCTTTAATTCTCCTCATATTTATATTATCCAAATCACTTCTTTGCTGACTTTGTCAAATAACCAAAAAATGATCAAACTCACATATTGGTGTGTGTGTAATATTGAAATAAATGATATCAAAGCACTATCAAGATAAAAAGGCCTAGCCTAATAAAAGTTTCTGAGAACAAATACATAGTTAAGAGTGAAACTACACAATATATCCATTATGTATTTTCCCTGACTACAAAAGTCCATGATGAATTACCAATAATTTGGATACTTTTCAAGACAGTATCAGTCAGTGTACAAGCACTGTTTATGGGATGCATTTGGCCATTAAATTGAATGACATTTTTTATGCTATTAAGTCACTGCTGTTATGTATATGGTTTAAAAAACAAACAGATGTTGTTTATCATTTTCAACTCCATGATCATAATTTCTCTGCATTTAGCCTATGGTTGACCTGTAGATATAAAGATTTGGACAAACAAAATACTTCACTGTGGTGATTTTGAATTTGTTGAAATCCTTTCACAGATATTATGTCTTTTCTATATATAAGGAGACCCAGAGAAATTAAGGGACTTGCCTAAAATGATACAACCATTTGGCTGCAGAGCCAAACAGAATTTAGGATTGATTCCAGCCCCAAAGGTAAGAGACGTTTTGATGGAGGGGAAGCATCATTAGGCTTAGACTAATGAATTCAGTCCTCACCTTGGTACTGAAACAAGTTTCTTCACCTCTTTGGAACTCAGTTTCCTCCTCTGAGAAAGAGTCACTGCACAGGGTGACAGTCACTAATGTTTTGTTATTGTAGCATATCAAGCCCTTGCTATGTGCCAGGTGCACTTTACAGTTTGCACTCTAGTCACTGCCCCTGGAGACACTCAGCCTCCAGGTTAGGCAGACCTGCATTCAGGGCACAGCTCCATCACTCCCTAATTCTGTTCTTTTGAGCGAACTGTCCTCTCCATGGGTGAGTTTCCTCATCTACAATGGAAGTAATAATAATTCCTAGTTCATAAAGTGCTTGCAAGACCTAAAGAAAATAGCACCTGTAAATAAAGTGCTATCATTTGTACCTAGTAAATGTTGAATAAATGAGCTAATCTAATTTTGATTAATTCCTTATTATTGACACTAACAGAAGTAGAATGGAGCGTGAGGTTAAACAGCCTCTAAAGACTTGTCTGGTTCTGTCTGCCCTCATGATCCCACCCTGGGGAATAGTATCATCGTGCTCATTGAATTCCTTCTGTAGTAATGAGTATCTGTATGTGACCTATTTAGTGGCAGGTGATCCATCTTCAAAATATGATTTAAATGATTTCCCACAGACTCAGGAAAATTGACTTGAAATTCTGATGAAAATTTCCTATTTCCATTTTAGCCCATCAGTGATTTTTTTAAAAATATTCATTAGTATTCAGTGGTATACTGTTGAAAGTGGACTGCAAAGACACATGCAGAGCATGCTGGCACTATGTGGACATGCTCTTTGCAAGTCTGTATTTAGAGGAACTATTAATTAAACTGTAAACTCTTTCTAAAGGTTTAAGAGGTAAGACGGGACCCCTGGGCCTTGCTGGAGAGAAAGGGGACCAAGGAGAGACTGGGAAGAAAGGACCCATGGGACCAGAGGGAGAAAAAGGAGAAGCAGGTCCAGTTGGGCCTCCTGGACCAAAGGGAGACAGAGGAGAGCAAGGGGACCCAGGGCTGCCTGGAGTTTGTAGGTGTGGAAGCATCGTGCTCAAATCTGCCTTTTCTGTTGGCATCACCACCAGCTACCCAGAAGAAAGGCTACCAATCATATTTAACAAGGTCCTCTTCAATGAGGGAGAACATTACAACCCTGCAACAGGGAAGTTCATCTGTGCTTTCCCAGGGATCTATTACTTTTCTTATGATATCACATTGGCGAATAAGCATCTGGCAATTGGGCTGGTACACAATGGGCAGTACCGGATAAAGACCTTCGACGCCAACACAGGGAACCATGATGTGGCTTCGGGGTCCACAGTCATCTATCTGCAGCCAGAAGATGAGGTCTGGCTGGAGATCTTCTTCACTGACCAGAATGGCCTCTTCTCAGACCCAGGTTGGGCAGACAGCTTGTTCTCTGGATTTCTCCTGTATGTTGACACAGATTATCTAGATTCCATATCAGAAGATGATGAGCTGTGATCAGAACTGCTGACTTCACTTTCTAAGATCTTTGTGGTAAATACTTTTATTTAATCTGGGGCCCTAGAAAGTGGAACAAGCAGAAATGTGATCCAAAGAGACTCCCACTCAGATTCCAGAGTATTTACACAGTTGTAGCGGAATCTATTAAAACAAGATGAACCACCAAATGGTTCTAAAGTCATTAAATCTATTAAAACAAGATGAACCACCAAAACGAATTACATAAAACAATAATCCCCAATACAAATGGTTTTAAAAGGGATGGTCATAAATATTTAAACAACATAAAGACAATGTTAACAAATTTTCTCTTAAAATCCCTCAGTGATAAAACCCAGTTGGCAACGATACTGTCTCATTAAATTTTCATAAAATAACATTTTGCCTGTTATTTAAGAGAATCATAATATCCCAGACAAAGTCTTTGACAATTCTCCAAAGGCTATAGTTAGTCAAAAACCAAAGGTAAGAGATATTAATTTCAAGCAAGTGAAGTGATAATTTCCTTTGTTTTATTATTCATTCTTTCATGCTTGTATATATTCACTCGACCACTCTTTAACCAGCCTGTATGATGCTGGGTCAGATTTAGAAATGAGTCAAGACAAAATCTCTACTTTCGTACAGGCTAGTGTGTGGTAAACATAGTGTCACAATTCAGTTTTTGAGCACTAATGGCCAACAGGCTGACTAAATTCTGGAGGCATAGGAGACCTCCAGAGGCCTTCCTGGAGGCGGGGGCCAGAGAAGGTCTAACAAATGGAAGAACACTAAGTAGGCTAAGATGCATGTGTTTAAGTAGGTGGGAGGGATGGAAGGACACAAGGAATTCAGCAGCTGCATTCACTCCAATCCCTTCCTCACAACACCATTGGTACTTGCAGTCAGGAAGGGGAGAGAAGCCTAGAGATTGGGGGGCCTGGGAGGGGCAGTGGGAATGAAGAACAACAAGTCACCGAAACCGGCCAGTAGGTCATTCTTCTAAATCCTTTCACGTGATTGTTTCCCAAGACGAATAGCCGTCCTCTCGTGTTCTCACAACTCAGGGCGCTGCTTTAACATTGCAGGAAAACTATTTCTCGTGATTTCCTAGGTACTGAATTCAAATAAAACAAAGCACATATCCCCTGATTTATGAGTGAGCGGCTGGGAGTGATCAGGAGGAGGAGGGTGAGGGAGCAGATGTCTGAGCGAACAGCTGTGCCTTCCAGGCCCCACACCTCCCGCAGCCCCACTCTCCCTTCCTGTCGGCATCTTGTTCCGCACTGAGCTGCAGTTCCTCAGTTACTCTCACCCATGATTCTCGCTCACCTGCCAATCCCTTAGCTGATAGGAAGAGTATTTCCCTACCCTCCCATTTAGTAGCTTCTAATCCTCCTTCTAAGCATTCTGTCTGCTCGGTCTTTTAACCAATATTGTGTCATACCTGCTAAACGTGAGTCGCCACACCGAGTTCCGTGTCGGTGGAGGAGCACCAAGATGAATGTGACGCAGGCCCTGCCAGCAAACTTCGAAGGATGCACGAAAGGAAATGACATGCATTTACCTACTCAAAATATCAAGAATTATGGAAATGGACATGCTAAAATATGTCAAGTGCTAAACTGGAGATAGAGACAAAATGTTGTAGAAGAAATGCTGAGGCGGAAATATTTACTCCCAAGTTTGGGGTGAGAGAGGAGAGCTAGGTGAGTCTCCTCTGTGCCCTGGGCTGCAAGTGATAGATGGGACTTGGCATAGTCAAAGTGGGGGCAAGAGCACTTCAGACAGGCGTCATAATGGGGACAAAGCTTAGAAGAGAGACAGAGACCCAGAGGAGGAACCCATGAGCCGTATTTGCAAGAGCCTCAAATGTCAGCCTGAGGACTGGGGACTCCATTCATGAGGAAGGATAGAGCCCCCATGCGTTCCAGAGCCGCGTGCTGTCATTATCAGAGGTGACATTCCCAACGATCAGGCAGCTAGGTGCATGAGCAACCCTTGCTTCTCCCATCTGTCAGACCTATCTGGATCCCATCATCTTCTTCCGCCTGCCCTGCTTTGTCCACTCTTTCTCTCCTTCTGAATCAGGACATGGGTCTAGAGCACCAGGGGCAGCAAAGGTTAGACAAAAAAGAAAGAGCAAAAAGTGCTTTGAGATAGTCGCCTAGATAGCAGCTGAACCTGGAGCGCCAGGCCATACAGTGTGAGAAAAAACAGTCAACAGAAGAAGCTCATCTGGAGAACATGAAACTATGCGCCCTTTGAAGACGATGGGATTTGCTAGAGAAATTGCAACTGGAGAAGTTATTGCAGACAATCACGACCCACAAGATTAATGTGTAATTTAAATTTTCTTCTGATCGTGATCCATTAATGCATTCATTTTGAGGACATTGTTTACTTTTCTTTGAAATGTTTCTTTCATTAAAAAGCCTATTTTAAGTGGTTTGTTTAAACTAAAGTTTCTTTAGCTGGTCCTAGGCCCAGAGATTAATTTTATTTTGAAATATCTGGGGCAATGGTGATGGGAATCAGAGAACTGAAGTGGGAGAGGAAAGGCGATTTGGGCATTAAAAGGATAAACTCTAAAGCAAATGCAGGTGTCTTTTATTCCTAAAAAAAATGACAGATACAACTTATCCACATTTAGGGATATTGTGTGAAGAAAAAAGAAACATAGTGATTTTGGTTTAAAAAATTCCAAGTCTTGTTCTAATCATTCTTTGTAAGGGCTGACTTGTAATGAATATGTACTAAGAGATATTTATTGACTATATAGCATCTTGTTTCAGATGGATTTAAAACCACTTACAAAGATAGATAATACACAGAAAGAACACTTTAGTCAGAATCAAGTGAGAATAAAAGGGAAAACAAACAAAAATGGAAAGACGAGGCTAATGCCAAACTGTGTGGATGCGAATTCACATGCACCTGTGCTATCCATGTACAGGACACACATACAGGACATATACTTCCCTGTACCAGCACATGAAAAAGAGCATTTGCAAGTCATTTATCATTGCACATGATGTTTGTGGTAAAAAAAAGATTCCACAAACTCTGAATATACTACTTCTCTCTCTGCTACCCTGAAAGAGAGATCATGGATATTTTTCCCTTTTGTCTATTTCACCCATCCTCCCATCCCTTCCCCAATGCCAGCTGCCAGGCTCTTCTCTATGTTTCAGTATATTTCTGTTTTGTTTGTTCATTTTTTTGTTTTTTAGATTCCACATGTAAGTAAAATCCTATGATATTTGTCTTTCTCTGTCTGACTTTTTTCACTTAACATAAAACCCTCAAGGTCCATCCATGTTGTCACAAATGGCAAGATTTCATTCTTTTTTATGGCTGAATAATATTCCATTGCATATATGTACCATAGCATAAATATATTTTAGAGATTGGCTATTTGTTGTTTCATACCTTCCTCTCTGTCACCTTCTGTAGCTTCACTTTCAGTAAATGGCATCCTGACCCACCCTGGCATCAAAGCCACAACCTAAAGTGAATTTCAGCCTTCTTTCCCTTCCACACTGAATTTTGTTCAGTATAAAATCCTTCCAGTTCTAGCCTTTGCATGCACATTCTGAGTCATTGCACCTTCCCATCCCCAATAACAATGTTTCATTAATATACTCATCATCGCTTCCCTGAACTAGTAAACTTTTTAACTGACCCTTTGCCTTCAGCCACAACTCTAATCCATTCTCCACACTAGACTAGATCTATCTTTCTAGAATACAAACATGGTTATGTCACTCCACAGCTTAAAAGCCAGCAATAGCTCTCCAAACCCTATAGAATAAAAGTTGTCTTGAACTTCTTTGGGCTTTGCTATCCAGCATGAATTCCATATCCTTTTTGGGATATTCATACCATACTTTCTTTTGAAGGACCACCCTTCTTTATATGGTAAGCCTTTGAGCTTCTAAATGGAATTGTCTCCTGCAGTATATAAATCTCAGGCCTGAACAATCAGAGCATACATTCCACCCATACATTCCAAAATCATTCGTTCTGGGGACTCATTCAGAGCCAACAAGACTTTGCTGTGACTTCTATAAAAGAGAATCTCATTCTTTCCCACTGGACTTGAACTTGTGAGCCTCTGTCAACCATCTCACCATCACAAATCATAAGTACCACTTGAGAATGGAACCACGCACAATTGCAGTGAAGAGACAGAGATAAGGGAGAAAAATAGGTCTTGGAGTCATTGAACCCTGATGTAGACATGCCTATGGCCAGTTCTTCCTTTGGGCTTTCTGGTTATGATAGACATTAAATGCCATTTTCACTTAAGTCCTTTTAAGGTGGGTATTTTATCATTTGGAAAAGATGTCTTCTTAACTAATAATACAAACACCCTTTAGCAAGACATATTAGGGCCTTTGGGATCTAGCCTCTTCTTACTTTTATTAACACATCTCCAAAAGATACCACATGCAACCTATAATCACACAAATGCAATAAATTGGTGTTTCTAGGATGCCTTGCTCTTATGTACCTCAGAACCTTTGCACATGCTGTTTCATTTGTTCATATTGCCACTACAGTCCTTGTCTGCCTGGCTAGCTCACTCTTTGAGACTCAGTTCAAAAGTTACTTCCTTTTCTCTAATCTTCCTCTTCTGCTGTGACCAAGTGGAATCATAGGAACCTCAAAGGTCTTCTTTACCATTTGGGATGAGGGTAGTCATGGTAGCAATAGTGAATATTTACTGAGCACTCTTTGGCATGCTTTATACATACAAGCTCACTTGGTCCTCATAACAATTATTCCCTTCACTTCACAGATGAGAAACTAAGAGAAAGAGCTGTTAAGAAGTGTGTTAAGTAGACAGTGACACAATAGACCCAGGCAGTCTGGCACCAGAGTCCACTGTTTTCATTGTCACGCTGCATCCATATCCTATTTCACACTCATTCCACAGTGGTACCATCACTGTACTGCTCATATGTTTCTATGTGTATCTACCTATCCTGTTAATCTTTGTATTTCAGGTCTGTACACACTGCCTGACTTAATATGTGCTCAATAAAAAGTGTGATGAATTAATCAGTGACAAGTTGTTCTCAGCCACAATTTTTACAAGAGAGAGAGAGAAAGAGATCACAACAGAAAACAGGATGACCTGCTCACCCCGTGCATTAGTCAGGGCTCTTTAAGATCATAACTGCTAGAATCCAATTCAAACAGGCTCAGCACAAAGGAAAGTCCCTGAAATAACATACAATTAGAGAACCTGATCTGGGAACTCACTCATTATCACCAAGATTTTCTCTCCCATCTCACAGACCGCTCTCCCCATTCCAACTTCACTTTTAGGCAGGTTCTTGCCTTTGTGCGAAGATACCCACCAACAGCTCCATGCTTGCATTTGTGGCCTCAGCAGAAAAAATATATATATGTATTTCTTTTTCTCTTTCTCAAGAGTCTCAACAAAAGACCTGGGGATGACAGCCTTTGGTTCTGACTGGTTCTGCATGGGTCATGAGCCTATCTCTCAATCAATTAGCCAAGGGGATATGGTGTTCCTACACCTAGTGTCTACCCCAGAGCTAGAAACAGAATCAATCTCATATAAATCACGTGAACTGAGTGTAGCAAAGAGGTCATTTCCTAGAGGAAAATCAAGGTGCCTCTCTAGAAAAAGAGAGTTTGATTCATGGACAGTTAAGAGCAGCAAGTAACCTCTGCAGGCTGTTGCCATATAAAATCAAAACCACATTTATTTTGCCTGAATGATGCAAAAAAAGATATGTTACTAGAATGGTTTTTCTCTGAGATAATTTAATTGTTGATATTATTGTGTCAGACTTGACTAAATATTTTGTACTATTTAAACCTGGCATCTGTGATGATCTCATGCTACAGGCCATCATGATGCTAGGTTCCCAATCAACACTTAAGGTAAGAATGTATTTTTCTCAACTGAAATCTTCTTCCCCATCCAACCTTATGATTTTTGACATCAGTGCCCTAGAAAATGCAACAATCTATGCAATTACTAGATAATTAAAAAAAGAGGGGAAAAACATCCTTGAATTTTAGTCTCTTTGCAGAATCAAAAAAAAAAAGGCCAGTAAATCCAATTCATTCCCTCGCCCACATAATGACAGCACTGAAATGGGGGTTGAAAAGCCTTCCTAGGTCATCAACGACATTGCTGTCCTCTGGTTTTCCTTCTTGTTTCTTGAGAGATCATCAAGATATCAGAAGCTCCCATTTGCTCTGGGCCTTTTTAGTAGTCAGGCCCATGCTGGGTCCTTTCAGCAGGGTACCTTAGTTTGTCCTCTGGAAAAAGAGAGCTTGGTTCATGGGCAGGTAAAAGCAGGAGGTGACCCTGCAGGCTGTTTCCATATAAAATCAAAACCACATTTATTTCATATGAACGATGCAAAACAAACATGTTGCTAGAATGATTCCTTCCTCCCTCTCCTCCAGAAGGAGGAACATCTCAGGACCCAGCAGAAAAAAAATATATATGTATTTCTTTTTCTCTTTCTCATTAGTCTCAGCAAAAGACCTAGGGATGACCTGGGGACGTTGCTTAAGCATGACAGGTGGGGAGCAAAGTGAAGTCAAAGTGAGGAGACATACCAAGGCCCACATGGGTTCTGTTCTCCTGGGAATGTGCCCCTCGGGGTCCAAGCAGGAACAGCAGAGGGCACGCAAAAGGATTTCTCTGTACAGAGTTGAAGAACTATATGCAGAGGTGCAGGTGGGGCTAAGGGAACCAAGCAAGGGTGTTGAGTATCCAAGGACTAGCAACAGCAGAAATCCATCCCCACCCCAAGGCCTGAAGGCAGTGGAGAGGCCGCAGTGGCTGCTAAGTGCGGTGAGAGCTGGAGACCTGGAAGAAGGGGTGTCCTCCAGGAGCCACGCCCAGAGAAGAGCCCGGCCATGGCCAGAACTACAAAGAAGCAGGAGGGATCGCCTGACCACACCCTCCTCCGAGCCCTAAGTCTCCCCTCTGCACCTTCTGCTGATCAGACCCAGCGACTCCAGAGGGCAGGGGAGTCCGGTGGGGGCAGTCTGCAGGGATGGGCTTTCCGGGCCAAGAGCAATGCAGAGAAGGACAAACAATGGATGGGGAGCCGAGGGCAGGGTGGGAGCAGAAGGAAATTAAATAGCATAGGCTCCTCTCTTTGATTCCTTCCCTGTCCAGATTCTCTCTAATGCTTCATGCACCTGGTGCAATAAAACAGGGGCCCCATCTTGAGAAGGGCAGAAGGGACACCTGCCAGAGCTGCTCACATCCACCTATAATTTATGCACAAGGAGCCCTCGGGTCTCAGAGGGCTAAGGCCTTACAGCAATGAATAGATTTTGCCAGTGTCCCCTTTGTCAGTCTCTCCCTTAAACTTCCAACAGTCACAGGCAGCTGGTAAAGCATTCAGGGGTTCAAGATTCCAGCCAAGTAGTTTTCCAACTCATCATGAACTAAATGCTCGTCTTATCCTATTAGAGATGAGGAAACTGAGGCACAGAGCCATTGACGAGTTTTGCCCAAAGCCAAGCCTTAACAAACGTGGTGTTCAAACTCCTTCCTGTCAGCCTCCAACAGTCATGCTCTGTCATGAGTCCTCACCTGCTGCCCCCTGCCTCTCCAGACCCCTGCAATAAGACACGGTTTCAGACAGATCACTGCACCGTCGGGTAAATGCTTCATGCCTCAATCCTCTTCCTTTGATGCTGGTAAACATCCTTTCCCTCCTGTTTCCGCTGGGGGCTGAGCCCGACACAATCAGCACTAGCCTGTGCGTGATCAGAATATTCAGTGAGGCTCGGCCAGGGGGCTCTGCAAACTCTAAGGAGCCCAGAGTGCACCAACCTCCTTCACTCTGCACAAGGTACAGACGCGGTCCCCCAGGCACCGGCACCAAGTGCATGGGTCTGGCTTAGTTCTGCCAAGAATTTGGGCTGTCTTTTAACGCCATTATTTTTATCATCGTGCTTAGAAGTATCAGGCAGCCTGAAATCCTCTCAGTTTTCCTCACAAGACAGGTCCCTATAGTAAACACACACACACACACACTCGTGTCCAGATTAATCTTAACAGAAACCACGAGCAAGCAGGATCACACTTCCCGCAGGCTTCACGGGGCCCTCAGGGTGGCTTGTAGATCAAGCACTGGAAGTGCCAAAACATTGGGAAACTGAAGAGTCCTTTGGAGGAAAAAAAAATTTTTAACACATAAAATTTGCAGCAAAGATTTTTTAAATTCTGTACCAGGGTTTCCAAGGAACACACTGACATTC